ATTGTGATTCGCCGCATCTCGCCCAATCATCGCGTCGTATTGCGCGAAAGATACCGATCCGTTGAATGTAAAGTCAACGTACGGAAGGAAAGGATGCACGGCCACAACGTCAGCTCCTCTTCCACCACCAACCATATCAGGCCACTGCTTCACTCATTTTTGAATGTGCCTTGATCTACAGCTCGTGCCTTGTCCATGACATGTTCAGCAATATATACGCGCTCGTAGAGTACTCTTCGCTGAGTACAGCGGTCTCTGTACCTGAAGACATGCCATGTAGAGTGTGAGCTGAAAATCAAATCTGAATTATGTTCTGGAACTTTTGAGCAAGCTGATCAGAATTGGGGAGCTCATGATAAATACTCGCCACCTCTTTGCGAGCAACGCAGTCTCTGTACTACCCTTCGCGCCTTCTGCATACGGATCGCCTTCGATATCGAAGCTCCTCGCACCCAAAAAGACGGGTGGTAATTAAAACCGATCAGCTTTTTAGGAGAAAATCCGTGCTAGCACCACACACAGGACATGCCAACGGAACCCCTCCTGGTCCTATTTCAAATTGCTCGAATTTTTGCGTAAAAAGTTGCTCGGTCTTAATTAGTATTCCCAAAAATACACTCACATGCACCAGGTCATGCACCTACATTGTAACGACTGACCGCGGTAACTACCGTCCGAGCCGGCCAGCTGGCGCCAACATCGGGTCGCGTGCCCGGTGGTAAGCCATCGGGCACAGCCGCGCAAGATCGCTACAGTGTACTAGCCCCACGATTGGCTGCGAGCTCTGCAGCCAATCGCCGATAGACTAAGTGAGCTCGCGCTTCTCGCGAGCTCTTGTAATTCACTTTTGGATTTGCCTCACAATAGACTCTGCTCTCTAAGCCTTCAACGCGACCTTACAATTGGTAGCACTTGTTGGTTGAAGAAAAAGAAGAAAAGAACAAAAGAAAACGAAAAGATCCAACGAGACCTAGTAGTAAAGAAGTAGAGAGTATGTCCCGCAACGTTACCGCGGACGAAGCCCGCCAGCTCCAAGGGGGTTATCAGAGCCGCATGGAAGAAGCCGCCCAAGAAGCCGCAGAAGAAGCCGCCCGAGAAGAAGCTGCCCGCCGCGAAGCCGTCGCCGCCGCAGCCAGAGCCGTCCAAGAAGACCCCGAGTTCCTCCGCCGAGTGCAGGCCGAGATTGATCGACGCGTGAGCGAGGCAGCGGCCACGCACGCCGCCGCTGCCCTAGCCGAACGTAACCGGCTCATGGCTGAAGAAGTGGAGCGCCGCGTGCAAGCGACGCTGGAAGAACGCATCGCCGCCGCGTTTGCGGCCCGAGATGCAGCGCAGCCGGCGCCGACGCCGGCCGAACTCGAACGACCGGCGCGCCGTTCCGACATGACCAACCTGCTCGTGCAGAACATGACGCAGAACACGGCGCTCCTCGAGCGCCTGGCGAACCCGCCCAAGCTGGAAGGACGGGTAGAAGGAATCAGCATGCCGACCTACTCCGGTCGACACGATGAGAACCTCGATCTGTTCTGCTTCCAAGCGCGGGTGTACTTGGCCGCCAAGAACATCAACCATCGGGAGAAGGACAACCAAGCCCGCTGCTTGAACATGATGGTCGCCAACCTGCGCGGTGTGGCCGCCGCATGGTATCAAGACCGCGTCAAGAACTGCAACGCCGTGCCGACGTCGATCGGCGAGTTTGAATCGGCGTTGCGCCAAGAGTTTGTGCCGCCGGACGCGCAAGAACGTTACCGCGACCAGCTCTACAACCTCCATCAACGCAACTTCCGAAGCCTGGAGGAATATGTCGCGGCGTACCGCCAAGTCATTGTGCGGGTCAACGACATGTCGCAGCTGGACCGGGTCATGCTCTTCACGCGCGGGCTGCGTACGCGAACGCGTGAAGAAGTGCAATATCGGCGCAGTACGTGCGTGTCGGACGCCATCGCTGTGGCTCTTGAGTTCGAGCGCACGCACCCGTCGATCGTCAACGAAGCGACGCGCCACGACCGAGGTCGCGGCGGATACGACCGCACTCGAGGCCAAGACGGCCGCGTGCTGGTCAACTACTCGGCGATGCGCGGTGGCCAAGGAGGTCGCGGGCGCAGCGGGGCCGCCGATCCGTACGTGCAAGAGGCCCGCGCGCGCGGGCTGTGCTTCAACTGCCACTCGCCGTCGCACCAGTCGCGAGCGTGCCCGGCGCCACGACGCAACGGTCGCCCGCAGCCAATGCGCCAGAACAACTTGGAGTTTGAAGTCCACGACTACTCCGACATGACGAGCGAAAGCTTTGGCCGTGAGGAGCACGTCGAGATCACGACGGTGGAGCTCCGCCCCGCGGACGACGCGGTCGAGGACTTGGCGCCGCTGGTCGAAGAAATCGAGATCAACACGATCGTGGTGCGCCCGGAGCACGTGACCATCGGTGCCACGGGGGTCAACGACCTGTTCACCATGCCAGCGCTGGTCAACGGCCAGTGCATGACGGTGCTGCTGGACTCAGGCGCTGACCACAACGTCATCACGCCCGGCGTGGGCCGCTGGATCACGGCGACAAAGACGGTGACGGTGACGGGGTTCGGGTCCGCAAGTGCGGAGCGCCGACGTGTCCACGAGGTGTCGGACGCCATCAACATGGGTGGCCACACGTACACCGACGTCGTCATGACAGAGTGGGACATGACTGGCAAACCGTATCAGATGATCCTCGGCAAGCCGTGGTTCGCCAAGTACAACCCAGTCATCGACTGGCGTCGCCACCGTATCGTGTCGGTCGAGGCCGCCACGCGAGACGAGGTGATCTGCGCGCTCGAAGCAGCCGAGACACCGACCATGAGCGCCCCGCGGTTGTGGCCGCGCAGCAGCACGTGCACTACGCCATCGGCGCGACGGCACCCGATGTCGTCGATGCACCGTCGCCACTGACACGTGCAACGACGCCCGCGCCGGAGGCGGTGTCCATCTATTTCTCCCAAGTGCCGGCCGCAGACGGCAGCACCGAAACGTACGTCAAGGTGACGTCGGTCAAGCAGCGCGAGATACCCGCACCCTTGGCTGCTCTTGTCGAGGAGTACAAGGACGTCTTTCCCGACGAGATTCCAGCCGGGCTGCCGCCGTCACGGGCCGTCGACTTTGCTGTCG